AATTGTGATTGTGCAGTTGCGATATTATATATATTACCCCGACAAACTTTTAGTAGAAGGATCATGGCAATTAAACCATACGTTCCAACTATGTTGCGACAAACTTTCTTACGTGCGACGCAAAAATTCACTATAAAAGAGTTTTCAGTTAAGCTGCAAACAACAATATTGTTACATTTTATAAGGAAAGAATGAATTTAACGAGCAAAGCTATACATCGTAATTGTTTAATTACTTTCCTGAGAATTTTCCCATACTGAAAAAAAAGAAAAACTTAAGTTAATATCTCAAAAATATCACATATTTATTAAAATGCGTACTTGCAGGCAGTAGCAGAATAGACTGGGAGTGTTTTAGAGGCAAAATTGCTCAGGAGCAAACGGTAGAAAAAGTTTAGCTATAGATCTTTTATACTCTATTAAAATTGTGAATTTTACACAATTTAAACCTAAAGGCAAAACCACGAAGGTATTTATTGTTGTGGTTTCAAAGCAAGGCTAGGGAATGTTATAGAGAGCAGCGGAATTCCGCGTCGAGACTGATGCCCTCGGGCACACCTTTGCCAAGCACCCCTCGCACTCTTGCCCTCGGGCACACAGAATGTCCCATAAAACACATGCCCCTGGGGCAACTGTTGGGAAACTCTGACGATCACAATACCAGATCAGGGTAGCTAAATAATATCTACTGAAAGTTACGAGTCATAATACATATGAACTATGAATAGAAAATTGAGCTCCTGCTACGTGCAGTCTCAATATTATGTTTCACAGTAACAATTTAGTTATACTGATTTGACATGATTATTTTGTCACGATATTGAATTATATACCTTTTGAGGAAAAGATTTTAGTAACTTCTTTAAGAATTGAAATGACATTTTTGTCTTTGATGACCAAAATGCAGTGAGAATTTCATCTCTTTTTGTATTATTGTTAATTCATAAATGAAAGTTTCTCCGATAAAATGAAATACAACAATATTAGTTCAGTAGCTGCCTGCTTTAGGCAGGGTTTCTCTGGCGGCACACTTGTAAATTTAAGAGCATCTCATCATACGCGCACAATTTAAATCGGACCAGATTAGAAGGCATACAACATGAAAAGATTTTATTTAAAATTAATGGAAACATGTTTTGACGTAATATTCAAGTAGATAAAAGCCAGGGATATGATTAGCTTATAATACAGAACAAAGGAAGCATGTTTTGATGGCCGTATTCATGTTCCGTACAAGGAAATTAGAAGCCTCTTCAGTCTTCATGCATATAATGTCGTTAATAATCTCACTGACAAATTCATTGTAGAGCGCGGTCTCCAGAAGCGCGCTGTAAAACCTCGGCTGTGACCTATGTTTCTTTACCTTTCTCTACTGGCCAACGCCAAGTCTTCAACTATCCTATATTTTTTCATTCTAGAAGTACATTATTTTTACTGATTTCTCCTGAAATTAAAATTTAATATCATGCAATTTGTTAAAGCTGAGACACATCCAAATCCTAGGTTCGATAATCATCTTAATTCTTATATTTGTTCTCGTTTGATTCTTATTTTATACCTTGGTTAATTTTATAAGTGGTATTATCGTGTTAATTAGTGAACCTCGTTACTTTTGTCATGCAGCAAATTTCAAATCTCGGAGCCTGTGGACGCCATTAAGGATTTTCTGCTTCTTGTCAATCGGTTAATTTATAGCGACCATCTTCTATCAGATATATAAATATGTATAGATATATAAACATATATATAAACTGATCACTTATAATATACCGAAGTACTCATATAAACGATTGATATTCCTCACAGTTTAATAAGTTTAATATATTGTAGTTCTTAGTTGCAGTACCAGTGTAAAAGTTGTGCGTATTCTTGTATATTTTAACTGACGGGAGAAAGTCTATTTGATGCTGAGATCGAACTACAGAAATTTTAAGACTTTGAAATTGTTGCTCAGTTGTGATTTCTTAAATTAAACGTACGAATGTAATACATTATCTATTAATATCGTGCAATAATAATTTAAACCGCAATAATGAATAGATGGATGGTTTCTCTTGTCAATAATAGTAGAGCCATAAAAATCCCGCTATTGTAGCTGGGATCAGCAACGCTGTAAAAGACGTCGACTGTAGCGCTTTGTTGCGTAGCTTATAAGGACGGACGTCACGCCTGCGCCATGGCTTCGTATGACGTCACAGCTGTCCGAATGCAGCAATAGTTGACTTCGTTATTCCCGGGTTACAAGAAATCTTTCCACTCCACAGAGTCAAAAGAGAAAATGACTTTGTAATGACTTTTTATTCAGGTCAACTTATTTTATGAATCATTCTGTTGTTATGAAACAATAAAATAGTTCGTTTTGAAGGGGAAAAATGTTAACAATGAAACCGAAGTCGGGGCCATAGCTAGCAATCAGAACACAGGGCGGGTTGCCTCAAACATGGGAGCTCACAATATCTCAGCGGGGGTGCAAAACACCCCAGTTTTGATCGCATAATACATCGAGGTTACAATAAAACACGGCACCGAGCACTCCTCGTCACTCGTCGTTTCCGGTCCGTTACTTTGCCGGCGATTATTGCCCATTCAGTGCTGGTAAAGAGCCGATTTGATGACGATATTTACCCGCTCTTTGATCAATTAATGAAGAGGTTTGCCAGCACGAGCATTTCGCCAGTTATTCTGCTGATCAGTTCGTTAGCAACGCCTTCTATTGCCAACACTTCGCTCAGCTAATCTCGCCGCACGCTGCAGCTGCGCTGCGTTCACTCAATAAAATTAATAAAACTTTGTCCAAGTAGCGATGCAGATTTACCCTCGCGTGGGTCATCTTCACCCAACTGATCCGTAGAAAAGGATATATCAGTGCTACATGAAGCAAGTGTATGATGCAGCGAGATGTCATTTACAGCTCATATTCTAAGCAGCACTGGCGGCCCCTCACGTGCTTGTTCATTATCATGTATAGCGAAGAGTTTATCGTGCATGATGTACAAATGCTCTCATGCTTGTACATGCTCAACAGCTCAATATAATACAAGTTTGGCATTATACGGTTGCTTCACAACTTTAAATAATACAAGTTTGGTGTTGCGGGTGATCTACAATTCTAATTAATTCACGTTTAATATTGAATGAGGTTTTATTCACAACATCATGCAGAGTCAATTTGCAATACATGTTAATGCCTCTCAAATTGATTGGAGAATCTGTTAAAGTTGTTATTGTTCACTCTGTCTCGCATCATCTTGAAGCATCATAATTTTTATTGATTTGTTGGCTTCATATTGAACTGTAAGTGCCCCCCATTCATATCAATTGTTTGTCGATGCATTTTTTCGACAGAAGCATATTTTAATTTCTCTAAAAGCTCGAGAGCCTGTGCAAAATCTCTTAAACATATTTTTCTGTATATGTTTTAGAGAAACTTTTTACGGGCAAGTTTGACAACTTCACTCTAATTACCGCACGCTGAGCACAAATTGATGTACGTTCATTAAATGATTTTGAAATCAGGGTCATGACGATGATTTCTAAGTTGCCCGCACGTGTAAGGGGGATTTACACGATCCCGACTTTTTGTCAGTTGGAAGCCTACGTGGCATTTTTTCCATAGGTATATTTAGATAAATAATATAGGTAAATAGGTAATAAAGTTTAAATAATAAAGTTTTACTTATATTTTCAATATTTGAATGATTCTATATATATAGCTCAGATTTTTAACTGAAGGACTGCTTGAACTTCTCCTATACCGATCATTTGAAATCCGACAAAACTAATGAGAAGCGTAATATAATCGAACATCAAATCGTAATATAATCGAACATGCATGCAAGCCCCTGCAGGGCTTGCATGCATGTTAATTAGCCTTGCATGATGAAAATGCGACCCGACTATCATGAAAACAATTCGTTTTAAATTCAGTACTTGAAGGCACATTAATTTAGATTAAACTACTAGCTCCTTCCTTGTACTCCAATAATGAGAGCTCAGAGAAGTTCACTGTATTAATCATATAATTAATTATGAAACAATAAAATAGTATCTTATTATGTTCACATAGTCGTATACTGAGATGTGAGTAAAATACGTAAACTATTACACCTTAATAACATAGCAAGTGCAAAGTCATTTTTCGATTTAGCCTGAATCTTATTAATTGAGGGCTCGAAACGATGCGTCCAATTAGTTTCCTTAATTATGTCCTGGTGACTATTAAATAATTCAAAATCATATTAAATTAAGTTAATATTTCGGAATCGCTGCAAAAGGTTTTTCTTCATTTGAAATATATTTTAACGAGAAAAATCTCCATAAAATCCTTGTACATGAGAAGTAGGTATAGTCAAATATTGCTCATATGAGGCGACGCAATGTATTATAAGTTATTAATTGACAGACGCTAATTGACAACTGAAAACAAGGCGAAGAGTCTAGAAGTGAAGAATGAATAGTTATCGCATATTTAAAATCGACTTGATAAATACCGAACCATGCAAACATCAAAAAATAAACTTCTGATGAAAAAGGGCATTTTGAGGAAACATTGCTTCGTCAGACCGAGGCCTATACATATATCACCCCGGCAAACTCCTTTTTTAGCAATCCTAATATATAAGTATATACGCTGGGAGCTGCGAATTTCTGTTCATTAAAGTCCCTTAATTTAAATTACAACGAATATGTGTCTAAATATATTATTGTGGCATGGATGTGCACAACAAACAATTGTTTCATCTTTCTTGTCTAGAGTGTTGTCGAAAAAATCGTGTGATTGTTTTAAAAAAGGCAGAATTTTATAAATGTTGTAGAAATTGTATTAAAAAATGTGAAACAAATGCAAAAATATTGCTCGTAAAACACAACCAGAAGATGGAACACCATCTGTAGCCGTAAATTTTCTTGGACTTTCTAAAGATATCAAACCGATAATTTTCTTTTAGATTACAGACTTTTGTTTGATTTTCTAAAAATATAAAACCGATAATTCTCTTGCAGATTGCCGTCTGACATCGTCTCCTCTCCAATCTACTCCATCATTTTCCCTCTCGTTCCCCTCAAGCGAAGCCTCGATATCATTCATCCCCATACCCCGGATACCCCTGACCTTCCCTCAATTCAAACCTTCATGTTCATCCTCCTCATCGTCCCCATCGTCTCCTCAGCACCAATCTTTCTCATCCCCACAATGGCTGCCGAGACGAAGGTCTTTGTCAGAGGAGCGTTGTAGGTCGGCAAGTCGCGACGAGGTAGCAAGGGAGGAGGTCCCCTTTATCCTCGACCAGAGGGCGGGGCTGTCCGTTACTGAAGGAGGGACCTCCTTAGAAGAAGAGGACGCTGAGGGAGGTGTTAACTCCACGACCGTCGACAGCATCGACTCTACCGACGGTGACGACACAGGCTCGGTGAGGATTCGGTTTATCGATATCATAGAGTTTTTATTTGCAGGTTCTTTAAAATGCATTGAAGCTCCAGTTCCTCGCAAATCTAATAACAATGCGATCGCCCGCTCCAACAACACGCTTCCCTCCTCTAGCGAAAAAAATATATTCCCCCATACAAACTAATTTTCCGCATTTGTTGCCAGCAATAATCGACTGAAACTTAACTATATGTCGTTGAACAACAGTAATTTGATCGGTAGATTTTGTTATGAATTTATTTGAGCAAGCTTTAGAAAAATTAAATTTTATATGCATGGCTATAAATTTTCTTCCTCTATAATGTAGTGACGCAAACCATGACTGCATGGTAGAATCGACCTATAAGTCTGGATATTTAATACAGCAAATAGGAATTCATTAAAATTGTTTAACCCGAACTACCAAATCCTAATAAAGTTTGAATATTTTCTCATAGGTTACCATGAAAAATTACTTCATTATTGTCTGTTAAGAAACAAGCATTGCATGATTAGCAGCATTTGCAGTATTTGATTATTTTAATTTTATTAATATTTTTTATCGTTGATCCCGCGATCAAGTCACTTGAATTAAATGAACTAATTCATTGGATTAAAAATAACATAAGATAACAAAATTAAGTTAATGAATAAGTGTAACACGAATTGTTATTATTAGGCTTGAAAGCTCGAATGGTTTGTTAGATCTACAATAGCCGAAGTATATTTTGATGGATAAAGTGTGTTCCCACACGACGACTTTGTCATCTAGATCTCTTAAACGAAAAAAGACACAACGCAGTGACGTATAATTAAGAAGATGACGTCATGGCTTGAGGTCAGGCGAGTGTACGTTGGTGACATTCTCGAATTTTGAAAATTTTGATATTCTGAAATATTTCCGATATCGCAGCAGGTTTAGCTATCGCAGTATTATCCACAGTGTCCCAATTGCATCAGACTCGATCAATATACGGGCTCGTATTGCTCATAACCCTTAGTCTTCATGTACGTGTATAGTTTCATCACATAGATTTATTATGGCCGAATATATGTGAAATTCCTTTATTTATATTTAGTCATATTATTTAATTTTCTTACTTTTGTAATATTACCCTGGGGTGTATTCGTGCTTCGGGGCGAAGAAATTGTCTGGTATTTACAAGGTTGTAAAATTGTATTGTACAATTGTATTCAATTAAAATCTCGTATGTAAATTTTTGGAACAAAAATTTCAATTTTTTACTTGGTCATTTTTAATTGGTCAGTTAAAAATGAACAATATTTTTTATTTTTACACTTGGTCATATTTAGATAATATAACCTCCCACAAATGCCTTTTGATGGCTATTGTATACAGTATATACGAAGCGTCACTTAGTGAAGAATGTCGAAGTCTACGGTGTTGTGATGTGAGATTTAACTAAATCCATCACACGTTCCAAATACTTGATCAGAACTCGACAGTGAATAAAATTTTTCCTCATCGCTGCTATTAAAAAACGTAACTTATTGTAAGTTTTCGCGCCAGATGATAACAAATCATTTTCAAGTTTTCTTTTCACCTTAACAGAAATATTCAGTTTGGCTTAAATCCTGAAATAAAGTCTCAATGCAACCGATATCTCATCAACAGCCGTCTTTAAAATGGAGTCATTAGATTGCACAAGGGATTTCAAAGAATCATCTTGATTCAATTTAAAATTTTGTGTCTCTCGGGCACATGGATAATTTGAATACCAGATTTGAATTAAAAAAAACTATAATATATCTTAATATTTCTATAATAATATTTAAATAACACTTTCCGAGATTTCCTCGTCTTCTGTACACTAGTATATGGTATGCAAAACACCTCATGCATTTATCATTAACTTTCAATTATAATATAAATGCTTTAAATAATTTTGTTCGTGAACAGCCTCTAGTAGAATTTGCGTCAAGATGTCACTATGCCCTCACCAAGTCTCGCCAAGATTCCGCATATTCTCCTCCTCCGCAGAAGTTGCTCCGCCTTTTCCCGGAATCCGTGGGAGTATTTTTTCCCCACTGGCCGGGGCGGGATCAGTGGCGGGAGCGATTCCCCCTCTTCCAACCCCCACTGAAGGGCTCAGTCGGAAACATCCATTTTAGATGCTAATGGGATAGGTTACGGGAAAACTCTGCAAAGTGTCAATTAAAACGAAGAGGGCGAGTCGATTGCTCTGGAGCTCGACGTGTGTGTGAGCTGCTGACGCGTGTAGTGCATGCCAGAGATACCGAGCAGTGACACTTCGGTTTGTGTGCTGTCGTAAAAATTCATGACACTTTGCAAGGTATGCTGAAATAGAAGCACACATTTCGAAGAAATAAACAAAAGTTTTAAGCAATGGAAGAAGACAAATTGAACTACAAACAATGGCAATATATGTCAAGTATAAAACAAAACCAAAATTATTTAATTTTGTTAGGATCAGTATTTAAAAACTTGTCGATCGGCGGAATTTTTTAACACAGTGCAGAGTATTGCAAAAATAGCATTTAATAATTGCAGCAATCGGATGTGCGAGTTGGTGGGGATATAGGACACATTCGAACAGCAACCGATGCTTGATTTTTTTCAATCAACTAGTTTTTTAATTGAAATTTCCATTTTAAATTGGAATTTGAATACAAATTTAATGCAATAATTTAATTGTTTAATTTAGTCTATTAAAGTTGAGAATACAGCTTTGTGTGCATAAATTTGCTGCTATACCTTTCATATATATTCCTTTCAATAAACTTATATATTCCTTTCATGGGTTGGACTCAATCTAGAATTTTCGCTAGCTATCTCACTTCAAAAGGCTTCTCATGCACCTATACCGTCACCCGCACCTGAATTCAATTAATTTAATAGTACATCTTAAACCTTATACTGATCGTATTCTAACGTTATTGATGTTCACTAATGAAACCTACATCACTTTAACCTTCAATGATATTCATTAATGGACCCTATATCACTTTAGACCTCACTGATACTCAGTAATGATCCCTATATCACTTTTGACCTCACTGATACTCAGTAATGAACCCTATATCACTTTTGACTTCAATGATATTCAGTGCATTAAATCCTATATCATTTTAATTCTCACTAATATTCAGTAATGAACCATGTACCACTTTTAATTAACCCTCACTGATATTCAGTAATGAATCCTATATCACTTAACCTTAACTGATATTCAGTGTAGTAATCCCTATAACACTTTAACTCTCATTAATAATCTCAAATGAACCCTAACCCCGCGCCCTACCTTCCCCTCTCATTTACACACTCAGACATCCTCCCGACGTTGAGACTTTCACTTCCCTGACAGCGTTCCCCTCTCTTGCCCCATGTGTGTGACCCTCGTGAGTCTTTGAGACGTTCCCGAACACCGCGTTAATGAGGCTCTCTAAGAGCACTTTAGAGTCTCTTGCTGCGAAGCTTTCTAGGAGCTCTCTAGAGTCTCTTGCTGCGAAAGTCTCTAGAAGCACTCTGGAGTCGCTATATTTACTGCAGGTCTAAGCATCGGCTTGTGCTGCTTGTAACCTCTTCCATCTTCAAGATTATTCTCCAGGAATTCCACACGACGTCATAACGATTATATTTAAACATATCACCTTTTTAGCGCTCTGTGCTTTCCCGAAAAATGAATTACTCACCATAAAAGTAAAATTTGCGGCTTGGTAGGCATTAAAACTATTACCGTATTATATTCATATTAGCATTTTTCCCATTCTCATGGAAAATTGATCACCTTCATGCAAATATAGATAGCTTGCTTGTCACATGCTTCGACCGAATTCCCACAATAAAAATGTTGTTTGAAAACTCAAAACTACCTCTTATACGCATCATCTTCACGATAATTCTCACCAACTCTAGATCAATATTCATATGATTTTTTAAAATGCCCTCACGATCATCTTTTCGAAAATTGGTTTTCGAATTTTGGTCAACTGAAAACTGTAAACCTTGCAGAACTTGAAAACTTCGTCACAATTTTTGAAATTCCATAAATAAATTGATAGTTGCTAAACCTAAACTAAGAACGATGGATAGGTAGTATAGGAGCTCCTTAACGAAGGGGTGAAGTTCCACAACGCTTGGGAGCTTCAATAGGTTTGTTATTTCAAATGTTTATCCAACAGAAGTGGAGGATATATCAATATATTATTTACTCTGTTGAAAATATTATTAAATCATACCTATCAGAATAACGAATTTGGTAGCGTTGACAGCGCTATAGTTAACCGTGGTTGCTTGAATGATTCTAAAGAATTGTATAAAACTGTGTGCTTATGAGCACTGTAGAAGTAATTTGATTTATAGCTGCTGAAAAGCTCTAGTCTTGTACTCAGTATAGGTAATGCTGCTAACTAAAAAAATATCCGATTAAAATAATGAGATTTATCTTTACCATTCTTATTAGTTCATTTTTATTTTGTTCAACAGATTTAGCTGAAAGGTGGTTAAAAACGACAGATATCATGACGCTCACTGAATAATATAGTCAATTGTAGACATTTACTGAGAAGAATATAGGTCAGCGCGTTCCGCCAATCTTCACAACTATTAACTATAGCCAAAACATGAGAGTTGTTGCAAATCTATTTATTTACATTTTGTTTTTCATATGGAAACAAGGGTGTGACGATGGTTTTATTCAACAGTCCGAAGGCCGCAAGAAGCCGCGGCGTCGACGCACCGCCTTCACGCATGCGCAGCTCGCCTTCCTCGAACGCAAGTTCAGGCTGCAGAAATACCTGAGTGTGGCCGACCGCTCTGATGTGGCGGAAGCGCTGAGTTTGTCGGAGACCCAAGTCAAGACTTGGTACCAGAACAGAAGGTGAGCCAGCGTGGGTTGAAAGCTGAAGTTCGTACAATGTAGGAAGTCAAGACTTGGTAAGCGTGATGTGATGGTGTGCGAGCAAGTTGTAGTTTGTACAATATGGGAGGTCAAGACTTGGTAAGCGTGATGTGATGGTGTGCGAGCAAGTTGTAGTTTGTACAATATGGGAGGTCAAGACTTGGTACTAAATAATATGGTTAGCTATTTTAGCAGACTGGTAGGAGATCGCGACTTGGTATACGAGGGCTGTAAAAATGTGCAAGGGGAAAGTTAAGTGACGCATAATTCATGTAATTGAAGCAAAATTTTGGCCAAATAATAATAATCCAAGTATATCTTTTATACGTGAACTTACCTCATTATACAAGAATTTAAAAAACGAGGAAAATTCCGAGTAAAGTGACAATTCCTTCATTGAATGTGCTCCAGGGACAAACCCCATCATTAACTAAAAAATTTCACAATTTTTGAACTGATGATGGAATTGGTTTTCGAAAAATTTACGGTGAAGATATAGTGAATGTTATTGGCGTTTTCTTAATTTTCAAATTATTGGCTAACGTGCGATTTGATATGTACCTTATCAAAAAATATGCAAAAAAATATATAAGTTCTAATATTTTGAGTTGTGTAGCCAAATTCGGACATTTACAAAAAATTTCGAGAGTCAGAATCATGTTCAGGAGTCAATAGATATTAGGCTTCACGATTCAGCTTTTATTTGCTATTCTGATATCAACAAAACATTTATGTGTTCAGGACAAAATGGAAGCGACAGAACCAAATGCAGCTGGACCAATTACGACAAAGGTCCTCGCTGAGCGCAGCTGGAGCGCTGGTGGACAAGGAGCTGTCCCTCGCGAGCGGTTCTTCGTCACCACGCACGTCAGAGGCCACACTTCTGTCCACACCGACGTGTTGCCCATCGTCATATTTCTTGCCTGCAATGGACAGGTCGTGCTTCATTGCAACAGCTGGACTCTTCACCCGCTTGCCGCACTACCCGCCTCCAACATGCCCGTTGTGACCGCAATTCATTGAGCCTCTCAGGGTGCAGAACATACCACACCTATCCGCGTCTCCGGGACTTGATTGATGCTGCAGAATAATTGCAAAGTCAAACCATTCTTTATTGACCGTCTTTTTACATATGTAAGCACCTCATTTCATTTGGATAAATATCTGCCGAGGTGCATAATTTCCAATCATTTTCATGCAGACGACACCAAAAGTAACAAACAGGCAGCCAAAAAGTACAGCATATAATTTGTTCATTATTGAGTACTGTTCGTTAGTAAGTAGAGCCACTATCATGGTAAAAATGATGTCAATGCTCCTAATTGAAGTTTAAATCAAACAAAAATTATGTATTTAAATTTCTACGTTCACATATGAATAACAAAGGATGTACCTAAACAAACAATAAAGAAATGCAGACAGCTTCTAAATTAAATTTAGAATTAGGTTAGAATCCGATGTAATGAAAAAATGGTCCCATATTGAACGTACCAAATAGTTCCGCTCAACTTCCTTCTTGCAATATTTGAAAAGTTTCCTTTAGTATGAACTGTTGTGACCCCAGTGACGGAAAGACGTAAAACCAAAATAATATATCGTTCGTAAGAACCTTAATACTTTGTATATTTGAATATGTAAGCAATTTAGATAATAATGACGGGAGAAACGTTGCTGAATAAATATAGGCTAAGAATAGTTGTATAGAATTTGAAACCGGTAAGAGATCAATGATTCAAGCTGATGGCCACGAGAGCGTGCTAAAACCGATCTCAAATCTCTAACTATAATCACTTTAATTAAAAACGGATCTCAAATCTCTAACTATAATAATTTTAATTAAACACGACCCTCAAAACTCTGACTAATCATGACGGCCAAGACTAACGTGAGTGGTGGCCTACAAATTTTTTACAGTAGTGATGAGATGCTGAAGCCTTTTGCTGTTAAGTGACACCCTTTATTGTTGCTTTCAACCATCGTGAAAATAAAATATAATAGAAACGCTATGTGCTACGTTTTGATATCCGTGCTTACTGGATGAAATTTTATACACGTGCAATAAAAAATTCAAAAAAAATCAACGATAAGAACTGCTCCCTTCGAATGAAAGTGAATTATAAGCTTAAATACAGCATTTAATTGTGGAAAAAAGTAACAATCTCACAAATTCTATGTACAATTTAAAATACGTTGATTATTTGTCGTGCCAGAGAAGTACGGAACTTACAACTGCTGGCATCAATGCACGCAGTGCAGAAACAGGAAGTAAGCGATCTTCATAATTATTTGCCACAAAATTCTTGCCAATCATCAGTTACTTTATTTTTATTTGTGTTTGTCTTATTACCCATACTACCCTATTTAGAGCCCCCTTATACACTCAGAGGAGAGTGTATATGGGAGAGTGTATGGGAGAGTGTATGGGAGAGTGTTTAGAGCACCCATATACAGAGAAATAGGCCATGGGCCTATTTCTTCAACGCCGACACTTCTATTCTATTCTAAATGAGAATGACTTTGTCAAAATGGCTTTTTCCCCTATGCTACGTGTGAGCCTAATTTGGTCGCACAACGTCTACTTTCTGCTCATTCTATGTTTAATTAAGAAAGTGTGTCAATATTTGGATAATATGACCCAGCCATTTTTCTGAGTGCCTTAACGCAGCTAAGCGCAGTCGGGGGGGGGGGACGGGGGTCGAAAACTCGGAAAACTCAGAAGGGCAGCAAACGTTCCTAGGTATCATGGGAAGACGGTGGCGCATCAGCGTGTTAAAAATAGTAGCTACCTGTTCAGGAGATAGGGATATTGTCACCGAGCTTATTTTTAATTGTGAAGTTTTATTTGAAGGTTTAAATTAATCGCAACTAGGAGTGAATAGCATACTTTTATTTCTGTACTTGAAGACATGCAGTGAAGCAGAACAGTCGTGAGCAACATTATGAAAAATTCAGGCATAATATAACTATATATATACCTCTCACACCCAAACTATAGTATGACAGATGCACATGCCTGCTAACAAAAAACTAGCATTAAAACATCAACAAAATAGTCTAAGGTAAAATTAAATAACATAGAGATGAGCATAATAAGCGTCTTGCATCAGTGATATGTCTCTTGGATATAATATTTTCACGGACAATAGGCACAAGAAAAAAAAACGCTAAGCGAATTTGGGCTTCTGTAACGATGTAATCTTGGAAGAAATACCTATTTCACTACAGCCTATATTTCCACATGAACAGAACTTGACGAAAAATGATGTGTTATCAAAACGTATTAAACAGTAACAACAAAATTGGCGTTAACCCTTTCGTGACGGCAATGTGTTCTACAACTTTTTATTCGCATTTTTCTACAGAATCATCATGAACTTGGACCAAATATTGCATCTCCGTAAAAAATAATGAAATAAATGTTAATGGTAAAAATTATATATTTGGGACTAGAAAATCCCGGTAGTATATGGTTCCAACTGAGGTGACATAATTTGCGACATCACTGATTTTGATAAAAAAAATATTTTCGTAATATTTTTTGTTAGTAGTTGAATAATATTACAAACTTCCTTTGGCAAACGCGTGTAATAGCTTATATAATAACATATCCCAAAATACCTTTATTAATATTCCTTTAGATTGGACATATGTAGGCGCAGGAGTGTTTCTAATATGTCCCTGTAGTTAGCTATGCCTTAAATTTAGCGATTTAGATTGGACATATGTAGGCGCAGGAGTGTTTCTAATATGTCCCTGTAGTTAGCTATGCCTTGAATTTAGCGCTACATGCAAGTTATAGAGCAAATCGTTGGGCGGGACGTCACGGTCCCGTCAGTCAATTACTTTTGAGTTGACATAGACGCAGGAGTGTTACTCATGTGTGTCTGTAACTAGCTATGCCTCGAATGGTGCGCTGTATGCAAGTTATGGAGAAAACATTGAGCGGGACGTCACAGTCCCGTCAGTCACGAAAGGGTAATTAAACAAAGAATTGCAGTTTGCCACTTGCGGAGGATCGAAGTGCGCAGAAATTGGCGATTATTAAAAGATGCCTAATTGTAGGTATGCTGAATGAACTAAGCTTACGAGCCAAGGTATTTTCCATTCAAGGCACGGAAACAAATAATATTATTGGGATATTATTTGACGATCCTGTGAGTGAAGCTAGCTCCCATTCAGTTTGGTGTTAGTTTGTATTTTATAGGTCAACCATGGGCTCTCATGTTAGGCACCATGTGTACCTAATCGACATGACTCCAAACTTACAGGCAAACTTGCTTTCCAGCTTAATCAAACGCATACTGGAAATCAAGAATTTGTCATGCATATTTATTACTAATTATCTAATTCTTTATTACTAATTATCGCGTCATGTATACAAACATTCCAAAACCTTTTTACTGAAAAAATTATGAATCCGTGGTTTAGTTTACGTCACCCAGTTTTTCCGTGATTGCTCTAAAAATATGTGTTGCTGTATAAATATCGGTTAAATTCGTACTCGAGATAAAATTATTTGCATAATCTGCTAAGCTATATGATTAACCTAAATTATCGGTATCTTCTTAGTAGGATTTGTGATCGATCAACCCTTATAAATTCATAAAATCCGTTGTTGAACGTTGCAATTGTAAACCGATTTGCTCTCTATAAGACTATAAGTAGGTAGGACGTAGGACCGTAGCGTAGGTATAAGACTATTCTGAGCGGATTGAGCCTCTAGCTACTCTTCTCTATTGGGCTCCGAAACTCCGCGTCAACAAAGAACAAATTGTTAGATTTTCCCTCGCCTGCATCTGCCTTTAGCTTTGAAAATTACAGTAAACTTAACTCTTAAGAAAGTTAAGATAGACATACTGACATAGGCCTTACTATCTGACAAAGATCAGGCTCAGGCTGGGCCCGCGCTGGTGGCCCTTTAGACAATAGTAGGCTCTTAAGATTTTCTTAATTGATTTTTTTCAACTCTATAATTTAGTCATGAGACAGTTGAGACTTCATGATTGTTGACTTCTTATTATAAAATTCTAGTGTGCAGATTGCAAAGTTTGGTGAATGCATTGCCAATGACAATTTTTTCATTTGTAGACTAAAAATGTTGCCAACATTACCCAAGATGAACTGCCTAGTGCCTGCAGTCTTCAAGATGTATTGCTGAATGCTGGCAGTCTTCAAGAGGATTAGAGGAAGAGGTGTTGCAAACATTATTTTCATCAAAATTCTCACAAAACCAACTTTGATCAGTGTATCATTATTCTTTAACACCCCAGGCAGGATGCCATGGTCAGGAAGATGTGCCAGGTGCGCAGGAATTTATTTTGTCATTTTAATGACCTGCGCCAGTGTGGAAATCCAGAGGGGTAATATATTAACTGGTAAACATAGCAATTTGGAAAGCAGGACCCAAAAATCTGGAACGTCCAGCACACTTCCACTTTCACTCCATCATCATCACTGATGAGTCTCTGCAAGATGCCACAGCTGTTTCTTTNCCAAATCAGTTTCAGGTATGATTTTAAGAAATAATGAAAAAAATTAAGGAGTAAATTAATTATGACCGTAAATGAAAATAATTTGGTGTGCTCTGAATCAACTGGTCAAACTCTGAACAACTAATACATCAAGTGCTCTTAATCAACTCGTATATAGGCGACTTTTGCATTCAAGTATATCGGCAAGATCTAATGGAACTTTTTTCAGAATCAAGAGTACATCCTTTACCGGCTGCAACGTTGTGAGGCCTCCTCAAGATATCCTTTGCTCACCGGAGTGACGCGTCTCTACCGGCGACCTCGGAAACGTTCATGTGGGGCGCAAAGCTTAAGCAACCTATCTAAGATCTTCCTTGCGCATGGGTGACTGTGGTCAGTGAGTGATGAGTTTCTACTGGTGTCAGTAGCGACCTTGTAACTTCTACTGAGCACAACGTGTTCTACTGAGCACAACGTGTCTTTCAGTAGATTCCTCTTGCTTATCCGTGAGTGACGCGCACAATTAACAATATTGGGAAGTTCTCTGTGTTGCCTGACGTAACGTTCATGCCGAGGCCGATTTCTGACGACCTGCAAACCTGTTTCTAGTTGCCACTTGCCTGGAACGTTTTTTTTCAAGGCGGAACGCTTTTTTTTAAGTGAACCTCTAATCTTAGATTTCCACTCTGACCTGCGCGGTGCACTGTACTATGCCGGTAAAAAATGCGCCATGCGCCGTACTTTTAGAAAGCTGAAATAGTTTAAATATGGACGTGTGGCAACGCAAATTACGCAATCACACTGACCCAGTGACCGTTCACACAAACGTGTAATCGTGTATATCCGCATTGTGTTGTGGTTGGATATAAGTTAACTAGATTGCTAACGCGTCAACTCAGGTTCTAAGAGTCAGCACAGTTATGAATATTCATTCATAGATCACAATTCAATCGGACATGAATTACAAAACTAAAGAAGGCAACATGGCTTTAGATGTGCCATCGGTGCCTTCTAATGAATGACTGGAGTCTGGACTGGTTGCGGCAAGTAGGGTATGAACCTGTACGTCAACAGTACAACCTGCATGCCAATGTTGGGACTACATTCCCGACATCCTCCCACCTGGCAAAATTGACACGATCTATACGGTCAAAACCTAATAACAATGCGCGTAAATGGACTACACAAATTAGGTCAATACGGCATAATTACAGAGCGCGGGTGGCCTGCCGAAGACCACAACTGCCCTGGATATAATGGATCATCATGATTCCTGCCTTCCAGAACGTAGCCTTCAACACTTCAAAGTTCAAGCCGTCCGTATCTAGGCCGTGGGTCGAACCAGCCCTCGGTCGAACGGCCACTTGTCGAAGGACGATGAATTTTGGAATAGAACTATGCTATCTGAAACCTAACCTCAGATGCGGTGAACATAAAATTACGTAATTTAACGATGTTCGAAAGTCAGATTCGATCCGCGGCCTGGTGGTGCACGGCAGGTGGTGGTCAAGGCAGGTGGTGGTCAAGGCCGGAGGAGGACAAAGCTGAGTGGTGCACGGCTGATTGGTGGATATCCGGAGAGATCCAAGGCGTTTGATTCAGGGCTTATTGGTGTACAAAATTGGTGGTGCACGGCTGCGCCCCCCCAGAGCGTAATTAAACTATGTGATACAAAATATGAATATATATATTTGCAAGATAAGTCAATGGTCTGTTGTTTATTTTTGCTTTATTTGAGCAATTATGGTTTCCAAATCTGGGTGCATTATGTTATGTCATGTGTACTTTGAATGTGCAAAATTATAACTATCGTATGAAAATTGTTACGTCGGTTATCATGCACAAATCGCCATAGAGTATCACGATTGCAGTTCTGCTACCATCCTTCATTAAATTATCTTGCCTTTTTAGTGCATTTTCTCATTTATGGAAAGAATGCACTATTGTGCTTGCCTGGCCTTGCCATGTCCGTCCGTCCGTCTGTCTGTCTGTCTGTCCATCCGTCTGTCTGTCTGTCTGGCTATCCGTCTGTCTGTTTGTCCATCCGCCTGTCCGTGACCTCAAGTTTTCGTCGATGAGAAAATGTGCTCTCTGTCACTCACTGCAGTGAGTACTGAGATATTTTATTTTTATTTATTTACTGCAGTGAGTACTGAGATATTTATTTTATATATTTTTCCTAAAATTCAATAATCTCACTTCCAGCAAAGTTTGCAAAATTCATTAGCTGCATAAAATACTCTCTGCTATGATGTTTGAGTTCCGGTTGACATGACATCTGTTTGCTTGTTTGTTGCTAATTTTGTAAAGGTTGCTTCAGATAAATTAATCATTGCCATTCCCATGTTTCACCCTCAATTTATTACTTGTAGTAAACGATTATGTAGATTACGATTATTACTTGTAGTATAATAAACATAAAGTCTCCCTATTAAAAAGTTATATTTTGTTGGTCATCTAAGATCAAAGTTTGTATCAACTACGCGAGTCGAACTAACAATAATTCAAATGTAAGACATGTCCGGGTTACTTCTGACTCTTCCGCTTGTCGGATACGGAACGTACCTACAGTAATCGTAAACTGCGGCTATTATACATACGAAATGTAAACAGAAAGTGTTCAGTGTTGCCATATGACTTTGGAGAAAATTTCTTCTAAAATAAAGTTCTAGATTTCTCATTCACCAAATTTCCGTATCAAGAAAAATCATATATTACTGAAAGATAATTAAAGGCATACTGTACTGAGTATTACGTCTGTTCCTCCACAAACTGCTCTTGCGCGGCAGCGCAACATAGAATTGATGACTGGGATTGTGAGAACACGTGCGCGAAGAGAAACAATTTTGATTACATTGCGCCAACTGTGAGCAGCAATGGCTTAAAAAAAGTCTAAATGCGCGGGAAAATTCCCCGAAAACATACATCATCCTGAGTGTGGGCAGGATGGAATTATAAAAATTAGGGTCATATATTATTGCCAAATTCCAATCCATCTCCCATCACTTTTTCAATCCAAAAATTTTAGTTAAAATCAGGGTTTGTACAGATCATGGAAAACCTGGAAAATCATGGAATTTAATTTTTCATTTTCCAGGCCTGGAAAGTCATCGGATTTCATTTTAGTTTATGGAAAGTCATGGAATTTGCCAACAAAAGAAGAAAAAAATGAAGTGTTTTTCTGTGCGGCGTGGGTTAAACTGTTTGTGCAGTCTATAGGGTAAACGCGGTATATTCCAACACATTAAGGACATAGCAAAAAATGAATGGCTATAAAAAAATCACCGTATGAGCAACTCGAGTTCTGTTTGCTTTTATTCGCTCTAAAAACACCGCACTACGCGCCAGCACCAATGAAATGTCACAAAATGTTGCCATATTTATTTAAAAGCCTTTAGAATGCAAACCTGCCAAATCCATATATTCTGATGCTGTGTGTGACTAAATTTGGCATTTTGTGAGACTAATAACGGGCGTGCTTCAAACTCTACTAATTCGTAATTCCAACACTCTTGTGTTCAAATTCCGATCGCTGTGTGAGCTGTATTGGAATACGACACAGCTTGGAATTAGAACTCTACTGGATATTGAATACTACTTAATTAGTCTTTTAATTAAGAGCTATTAAGCTTTTAATTAGGAAAATTTTATTTTTTGCACACAGCTCAGAACGAGCTGTGTGTGTCTAATTCCAAGCTGTGTTGGAATTATTTTTTATGTGTCTAAAACCATCTCTTAACTTAATCATCTATTAATTTCTTTACCACTTGAAATCAGCAAATACAAGTATACTTAAAGGATTCCTAATATATTCACAGACTTATTTAAAAGTCTCAAACCATAATATTCTTTCTACAGAAACAGTTTATCATTATTTGGTAGATCAAGGTCAACTATCAACTTTGACACGTTTGTCGATGTTCTCACTGGGTGATGCGCGCTGCCTCTCTTTGGACCTCAACATTTTCCCGCCAGACGGCCCAGACCTAGTGTTTTGGCAATAGAATGGCTCGCAATAGTATGATGTCACTATTTCAACTATCAACTAATGCGTGGAACTAAGACAAAGCTTAATATAAAGGACAAAAGTTGAGAAATGTTGGAATTACCCACGATGTCGGAATATGTCGTTTACCCTATTTTCCTGTGTTCTGATTGGTTCTCCAATCACTTGACCGTTGGTCACATGATATACTTGACCGTTGGTCACGTGATTGGGGAACCAATCACGGGAGCTCGGTCACAGAGTTCAGTTGCATTTGGCAACTTTTTGATCTGCAATGGCAGCGTTCCATCTTCAGCATGCAATTTCGGTATTATTGCAGATTAACTACATCCAAAAAAAAGGGTGTTTTTTTTTAATTATATGTTTTTTGGGGTGTAGATTACGAATCTGAAATCCATTTTTGGCGGTCGGCATCGGAAAACCGATTTTTTTCGCGACTTACTAACATGGGGGTTACGTAACTTACGTTACCCACTCACCTTTATTTACTAACATGGGGGAAAAAAACATATAATTAAAAAAAAAACACCCTTTTTTTTGGATGTAGTTAATCTGCAATAATACCGCAATTTCTACATCATCATGCTTGGAAAGTGAAAATTTCATGACTTATGGTTAAGAATAGAAGGTTATCCTGACTGGCTTGCTCGCCATCCAAAGCATGAAGGTATGGCAATATCATGTACATTGTGCTCAAAAGACATCAATGTGTCAAATATGGGGGGAAGTAGCTTTGAAGAGCCATGTCACCTTTGAAGAGCCAAGAAGAGCTATGCATTTAAACATTTGCTGCCTATTTATCAACTGTAGGAGATGATAGAATATGCAAGGTTAGTCTTTCAGTCATCTAAACCTGTTGTATATGAGTCTTGGAAAATTATATTGATGGTCATGGAGAGTCATGGAAAAGTCATGGAATTTTGTTTCTAAATACCTGTATGAACCATGTAAGATATAAGGGAAAAAATAAGAAGGGATGAAAGTTACATTTGAAAGAATTAAGAATGAAAGTTGCAATACTTCAAGATTTCAATTAGACTAAATATTAATTCATATTCAAGTCAAACACAACAAATAACGTTAATAAATTAATAACAAACAACGCCACCAATAAGAGTTGAACTTAACATGATGCACGGGGAAGCTATTTTGCAGGAGCAAATCTCTCACGCAGTGAAAGCTTACAAGCAACTGCATTTGACGGTTGGCCTTCGCAATGCCGCTTCTGGAAGGTTGGTAGTATGAAGCGGCAATAAGTGGTAATATTTTGGTTGGCAATGCTGTAATGCAACTGTAAAATTACGGTAAATAAGTACATTACGTAGTATTACTGATATGGTATTTACCATAAGTATTACGGTAGTTTCACAAATGTATTCAGGAACAGATTCAGAAATAGAAGCGACATTTTCATTCCTATATATAAATTGGATCAATAAAACACCCATAAAATCCATTCATATTCATTCAGTTTGGGATGTATGAATGACAATTTTACTTTTGTTCCTATGATGCTCATTTTTACCGCTGCAGCAGTAGAATTGAATTATATTTAAAAAATGAATTAAATTATATTTCATTAAATTTAATTTAATTACCATCAACCAGTGCTACTCAGGACGATTTTGAATGTTTTTCATTCATAACTTCTTACCATGAAACATTTTATAAACAAGTTTAGGCTCATTTCAAAGCTCTTTGCAAGGGCTATCACATGGCTTCTAAAAAAAATCCATATGCTATTCGTAAGGTGCCAGAAGCAAAAAAAATAGTGTCCCGAGTAGCCCCGTTGAACGGGGCTACTAATATTTACAAGTTCTCATGGTAAAAACAGATATGCGATTGTACTAGTTGAGTCAGTCATTATGAACATCATGCATGCCGGAATTCTAGGATAGTGTGTAAAGTTTCTTTCATTTTTGGGCAGATACATGTTCCTTTCCTGTAATAATGGCTACTGGTTATGTAGTAACTCCTAGTCTGTACATTTGCTGGAATCAAATGATGTACCTGCCTATGTAGAACCTTACATTAGAGTTTACATACCAATTCAAAAGAGGTTATGTAATCTTTTGAATCAAAATTTATGTGATATAAATATATATTTTTTATACACTCTAATTATTTTTACAGCATTTAATCTATTATTCTCATATAAGTTCTTCCATCTATTTAGTTTTCTGAATGTTTTAATGTATTTCAAGCATCAAAGCAAAGATGCTTTTGTTTACATGTACATATGAAGGCATTCATGATTAACATGCACATAGTGGAAATGGAAAAAAATTCTATAACGTTGGAAGCAATAAATCTTGAGGACATCCGGTTATTAGTGGTAAGTTGCTCTAAATTCACATGTGTATTTTCTTGTTGAAAAAATTTATCTCATTTGTTGGTTACATCAATTTTATATGAGTAATTAACTAATTATGAAGTATAATTGAAATGAATTAACAGTCAAGTTGGATTACATTTAATCATTAAATGGTAGTGACAATTTAAATGCAGTGATGCCTCTACATACCAACTTGATTCATATGATGAGTAGGTTTGTATGAGGAAATGTTTTGTATGTGGAAAGAATATTTCCCATAAGAATTAATGTAAAAGCAAGAAATCGGTTTGAAAGTAGAAAAATTATTGTACCGTATGCAGAGGCAAAAAATGACAAATGTCCAGTTCTGGAAAAGTTCACAAGTATAGGTGTTCATAAGTAAAGGTAGCACTGTATTCTATTGATTTGGCCATTTATGCTTTTAATGGTTCAAATTTTAAATACTTGAATGAATTGATGTCATTCCCCCAAGTTTATTATGAGGCTAGCAATTCAAATTTGTTTCCTTTAGCTTCTATAATATACATGTTGAGGAAACTGTTGTTAGCACCTGAATTTATACATATATATAATACATACCCTATGCTGGAAAATTGTAGGAGGATGTGAGCTTTCAGTTATTGATTTTACTTCACTGTTTTTTTTTGCAGAATATTGGTAAAGGATCCTTTGGTGTTGTCTACAAAGCCCTCTGGAAAGACCAGGAAGTAGCAATAAAAAAAGTGGAGTCTGAGTCAGAGGTAGGTATTTATTTGGCTTACAGTACAACATTTACCATGCATGTAAAATGTTGATGTATTATTCATAAGTATTCCTCCCTATTTTTAAGTTACCTTTTAAGACTATTTTTGGCTTCTGGCTATGATTACATTGTGAAATAGATAATTTATTTACTTTCATATACTTATCATAATTGCCATCAAAAAATGAATGCTGAGTAGTACTTCATATGGCGCAGCTGGGGAGTTGTTGTCAAAGTGTAATCACATTATCAAGAAATTTGTTTAAAAATGAATCCATGTAAAATATATTTTTTTGCAGGTTACTGCCCTGCACAATGAGATCCATCAACTGTCCCGCACCTGCCATGAGAACATCATAAAGGTGCTCGGAGCGTACACGGAAGGCCCTTCTCACCTACTCGTCATGGAGTATGCCGATGGTGGCTCACTGTTCCAGCTGCTTCACAACCCTCCTTATCCTCCCTACACCCTGGCCCATGCCCTCTCATGGCTCCTGCAGTGTGCCAGAGCTGTAGCTTATCTACATGCCATTGAACCTGGACCCATCATTCATAGGTGAATAATTTCCCTCTAGGTGTTTTGTAATGTTATGCACAATGTTTTGCAATATGCTGTACAAGGTTCTGAATATTATTTACTCCATACATACTAAAATATCTTTAGCAAGTTTTGAAATATTTTTTAAATACCTTCCAGGTCCTGGCATATGGCCAACTATAGGTCACATCATGTTCAAAATGTTTTGCCTATTGTTATGGTATTTAGCCAAACATTCATGCTCTTTAATTTATTTTGCTTTATGATGAAAATCTCAGTCTTTCTGGGTTTGATTCAGTAGTAATTCCGCCATGTTTCAAACCTATTATATATGTTCCAAAATTCTCATTATCACTCGTTGATGATTTGCTGTTGAAATTTAAGCCAGTAAATTTTAGAATCACCATAAAATATTATAAAATAAAATGAAATATATATAAAATAAAAATTTTGAATAATAAAAATTACCATATTTTTCTACAGAGATTTGAAGCCTCCAAACCTTTTACTGAGTGATGGATGTCGCCTGCTCAAAGTGTGTGACTTTGGCACAGCGTGTCAACAACACACCGTCATGACGGACAACACCGGCAGTGCTGCATGGATGGCACCCGAGGTTTTTGAGGGTAAATTGCATTCTTTCCTGATAGTTTCCGGCATTTTTTCTTTCAATATGACTCTAGAATCAAATATAGCAGTTGCAACAGCATTATGTCAGTGGGTTCATATATGAGTGTGCAATAGCAGATTTTACGGTCGTTTCTAATAAAGCAATACTCAAGAATCTCCGATTTATTTATTATTTTTTGTGGGCAAGGAATAGAATTTTAATGTTTACATAATTCGGTAATGATCAGCAAATAAAGATTTAATTTATCTACTCGTTTAGCAAAGATTCAATTACACATCATTACAAGTAAGATCATTCAGTTTTGTTACTACAGAAAACTTTTGATCTAATCACTGATGATTTACCTTTATCGATTGAATATGCCGTCTGTATTTGTGTTAAAGAAAAAAATGCTGAGGCACACGAAAGAAATATATAAAATATAACTCAGTACTCACTGCAGTGAGTGACAGAGAGCGCATTTTCTCGTCGACGAAAACGTGAAGTCACGGATGGACGGACATGACGAGTACAATAGTGCATTTTTTCCGTAAATCAGAAAATGCGCCAAAAATCAGAAAATGCGCTATAAAGCCAAATTTTCAATTTTGTGATCCTTCCACACCTATTAGATACTAGCTGCAGAAAATATGCCCGTAACAATTTGTTATTGCTGGAGCACCTGACAACTTTACATATTACACTGAATGGTAAAGATATTCAAGCCTTGCCGGACAAATTGAGGTCCTGTATTGCATTACAATTGTTACACAGAAATATTCAATAGTCATCAATTTCTTTTTGTAATTAAATTAATTAATGTAAATTCTGAAATAAAATGAAATTCTGGTTTTGGCAGCCAAGAGTTACTCGGAGAAGTGCGACGTGTACAGCTGGGGCATCATCCTGTGGGAGGTGTTGACGCGGAGAATACCCTTCATGGAGCTGGGGCAGGCCTGCCGCATCATGTGGGCCGTACACACCAACCGACGGCCGCCTCTCATTGTGGGCTGCCCCAAGCTTCTTGAAACTCTCATGAAGAGGTGAAGGCTTTTCTTACCATATGGATTTGTGAAAATGTTACCTTGTCCAAGAAGCTTTTAGGAAGCATTTGAATAGTTTTATTTATTTGCTTTAAATGAGGAGAGTTATTCTGTTTATTCAGAGTTTTTTGTGAACCCTTGAGAACTATCCTCGTTTCTGTTATGATTCATTACTACAACAATTTTTCTAGCCTCATGAAGATGCAGGCATTGTTCAGTGTGCAGGCAGTCTTTATGAGGTTTGTGATCCCATAAAACGAAAATTGCTTGAGTTCAATTTAGTCGATGAGAGTGCCAGTTCTTTGTTCACATTACGAAGTCTTATAGATTATATCATCACATCATGGAAAGGTTAGTTGTTTCAGCACCATCATGTACAGTTCCTAGTTGTCGTACCTAATAGTTTCCTCCATCTGCTAATCTGCTGCGGAGTTGCTGCTGCTTGTACTCTACTTCTAATAAATTCTGAATGCATGCAATCACGATTAATTAAAATAAGTCAATTACTAGACATAGGACAGTCAATTTTATATTGGCCCATGAAACCAGAAGATTAAAGTAAGGATTACTTCATATATCGTCTTTGCTGTGCCTGCCTTCATGTTTTAATTGTGAATTGTGGCCTATTACTGATGTTGGTGCTGTAAAAGTAGAGTTGTTTTAGTAAAGTTAGACATTTGAATATTATATCTTTGGCTTTCCGTTTTTCACAAATGGTAAATCGTTGTGGTTGATCTAGCTGATCTATGAACAGACTTCCAAATAAAATGTGTGAAATCTCCTCGCCCTGGAAATGTTATGACCGACACAATTCTATGACTAATGGAGCACAGGTTTTAATGGCTAACATTTAATAATCTAATTTGATCAATGTTGATTGTTTTTGATATTTTAAAGTTGAATAAATCGTATTCCCTTGGTAGATATCCTTCACAGAGTTAATGTTTAAAGAGGATTTTAACGTGGGTGATGTTGCAGGTGCTGGGATCAGGCGGAGAGCAAACGACCCAGCATGGAAGAAGTCGTTGAGACGGTGCCTCTCATATCGCGTTTCCTGAAGGGGGCTGATGAGCCCATTCAGTTCCCTTCCCCCACAGACACAGGTCAGTGAAAGGGTCCTATGAGCCCATTCAGTTCCCTTCACCCACAGACACAGGTCAGTGAAAGGGTCAAATGCGCCCATTCAGTTCCCTTCTCTTGAAGAACGGGACAGTGTCCAGTCCTTCAAAAACATCCTCACCCTTCTCCAGCGAGAAGCTGTGTTTTATTTTCTTATTATGCAAACTGTTTTTTATAGCCGAACTTAATTCATGTTGTTCTCTTCATACAATCATTCAAGGATCACTTGTAATTATTTATTTGTAGAATAGCTAGATGCGCAATATTTACCAAAACATAAAAGTAAATATTTATGGCTAAGAAGGCTATCTGCATCTCAGCATCTAGGTTATGACTAAATACGGGAACCCAATGTATTGAACCAACATCTAGAACCCAGCTGCTCTATCATTGATCCATATCCACAGGCATACTTAATAACTGTCGGAACATTAATTCGCTACGCATCACTGCTCGAATTGCCTTTTGTGCCACTGATGCTTATATGTGAGACCATACTGGAGATTTAACTACCGTGAAATATTTTTCCCAGGTTCGTCATACAACCCGACAACTGGCGAGACGAGCCCTGCGCGGTCAGGCAGCCAGGAGCTGTGCGAGGTACCGTGCACGCTATCATCGAGCACATTTGTGCCTCCTGAGCATTACAACCACTCGCCTCTGCCGCACTCGTTAGCTGGCCCGCCTTCAGAACCACCTTCCGTCCAGACCAGCGACCAGGGCACATATCTCGATAGATACTGGGAGTTTGCTGAAAATCAGCAGGCATGGGTACGAAACTTCGCCAGATGTTTGCTCGAATTATTGTTAGAATTGAGAGATTTTTTATTGAATGAAATGTTTTTAAGTTCAGTTGAGCGATTAGAATCGAATTGCAATAGTTTTCTTACTTTTTTTAAATAGATAGCGTTATGACATGAACATTGCTGGTAAAATTAAAAAAATTATTTTCAGAGAATTATTTTTTCCTAATTTACTAGGCTTCGAAGGAATTCACTGATGCGGACAGTGAAGCCTCTCGCTGTGCTCGCCGTCAGCAGCTTCTTGATGGCTTAAGTCGCTTCCCTCCTCCTCCCCCTGGTCATCCGTCCTGCGCCACTCCCATCAGCCCTAACGCTACCGCCAACATCGTCGTATCCCCGGAGAATTTGATCTCTCCTTGCAGTACCCTAAGGAGCGAAGAGTGTCCTGAACCCTACCAACTCTCCCTGTCGGGACACGGGGAGTTTTATCCTTTACCTCAACTGCCTAGAAGTAGACAAGTTTTTGTAGGCCAGTGTTCCCCACACTGGGCCCCGACCGCCGGGTTACAGGCTCTTCAACAGCAGGGAATTAAAATTTCCCCAAGAAGATCCCCGTTGCCTTTGAACGTTGGAGTAGAGCACGAGGTAGAGGATGTGGCTACCTCGGTATCGTATGATGTGATGCCAACAACGTGTTGTGTTTCTTGTGCTTCCTCGTCTGTGGTGACAGTGACCAGTGCTGGCGTCGTCACCACCTCCGTCGTGACTCCTTCTACTGCCTTCGTCTCGTCTGTGTCGTCACAGCAGCAGCAGCCTACGAGTTCTAACATGCGCACCACTACCGTGCAACTGCGACCTAAGCGACCAGGTTACCTCAACCCTAAAGACAACGAGTCTTCCTCATCTTCGTTAAGAAGACGCTCGGCTGAAGTCTCTGCCATGCAGCATCATCCTGCTAATCAGCCTGGTCAGTCAAAGATATATCTTGCATTTTGATTTTATTTTATACATATTTTACATTCACTGTTACTGGTTTATGTGTTGGCTGTGCTGAAAAATTCTATTAAACCCCGACGATTAAATTTAAGCTGTTGTTAAAACTGCCTTCTGAATTTAGTCAAAACATGGAGTTTTATTTTCTCAAAAATTCACTGTTTGTCTGTGGATTTATTGACCGCAATTTCCATTCAAATCTAAATGCATAATAACTGGAATTACTTTCGGTTTGCAAAGGGTTTTGATCTATCGGGCCTGCATATCTTTTGGAAGATGTCAATAGAGAATCACTCATTTAAACTCAACGACCTGCAGGCCACCGTCGGTCGAACTCCTCCGGGACGCTGTCGAGCCTGGTCTCGGGGGCGCTGTCGCCCCCTGCAGCCGCCGGCGGGGGCCCACTTGCTCCACTGCCAGGTGGGTTTCATAAGGCCTCAGCGCACTCGTCTTCTTTGCTCAGTTTTCTTTTATTTGGTTTACTTATTTTCTTAACCTATTTTGATTAATTTTCTATCAGCATCTCATCCCAATAATGAATCATTTTTCATAATTTTTTCAGACTTGTTTTTTTATGTCTGTATCCACTGTTCTTTCAATTTATACGACACCGTCTTTTCATTGAAAATGTTTCCGATTAATGAAAAATTTGTACTTTATGGTCTATCATTTTTTCAGACGATATATACTTCCCTCCAGATAACCATTTTTCCCTTATCCAAATCCCACGTCTTTGTTCCTTATGAAAACCTGGAAAATTTTGTTTTAATTTCATGATATCCAATCTATATTATTTTATTATGTCTCATCATTGACGATACTTGCATAATATGTGTAATGATAAGTGAGTGCCTAGATCTCGCCGTGATAATTTCTCATTAGATTTCGTGTCCATGAACCGTTGCATTTCGTCCAGGAAAAAAGCCTAGGGTTACTTTTGCTTCTCTTCATAAGGTGTTCTAAACTACAATTAATATAGTCTTGTTGATCACTTATTTCTCGTGCCCATGATTCTTCAGACTCGAGTAAACTCCCTTCCTCGGTCCCCGTAAACCCACCGAGTAATGCCAGACACGAATTACTGCAAGATACTCGTGAGCACCCGCGTGTTATGTGCCCACAGTCGACAACCCTAGCTGACACTAAACCACACGCATCAACACGCTCACCTACACTCACTGACAAAAAACCATTCATATCAGCACGATCACCCACACTCGTTGACACAAAACCATTCATAGCAGCACGGTCACCCACACTCGCTGACACAAAAAGACTCTCATCAGCACCCGTGTCACCCTTAGTCTCACCCTCGCGCTGCACGACGCCTCTTGTTGGCAGTCCTACAGCGCAGGCAGTTGCATCTAATCATCATTTCCAGCAACAGAAATACCACCAACACCACCACCACCTAAGCCCTATAGTATGTAGTTATCCTCAGATCCCTGCTGGTAGCCCAACTCACCCCGATACTAGCTTTAACCCGTATAGTACTGATAGTAGTGCAGTAGAAAATAACGAACCTCCTCACGACGGTTGCAAGCTTAACTTTAACATAGAACCGCGTGATCCTCCTAACCACGAAATAACCGAAGGCGATGCTGCTGCTCCCGTAACGTTAAGTAATTTTGATAATTCTAACTGTGTTGACTCCGTGCCTCCGTGTTCTGCTCTATATTTACCAGTCTCGCCGCCCGTCTCGAACTGTCAGGAACATTTGAGTTCACCAGACAGTGACAGCGATAGTTCCTCTGATATGGCCCACGCTATATCCCATGAAATTAGCAGCGATGGAATCATCACTATAGGCGCTATCCCTTGCCTCGGCTACATAACAGAAACTTTGACCTCTTCCCACTCCACTTCTCCGAGTTTTGTGTCTTTCCCTGAGGGGCAGAGCGCTTCTTCCTCCACCGCGGTGCCTCCTTGTAGTTCAATGGATTCGTTGACGAACACCGAAAAGCCAGAGAACAGAAGCAGCTTGCTACTCAGACGAGCGTCTGTCAAAGAAGTTCAGTGGGAGTGTGCTTCCGTCTACCCGTATATCTCAAAAAGCGGCTCAAATGTTTCCTTAGCTGTTGGTGATCCAAGGGGATCACTGTCCAATTGCGCCTCCTCACTGCCTCCTGATGCCTTCGGCAGTTCACCGAAAAGCCACACGATTTCCCGTCCATTCTGTCTTAGTGATGTCGAATCCCGTCTAGCCCGACGACCCGAGCAAAGCATTCACTCTCAGGTGCCGCTCAGTCGCTTGCACAGCGGCGTCAGAAGCGGACGTGTCTCTGGTCCTCGTGGTCCTTTGCTTTTCACGCCCATCAAAGAGACCGTAGCAGCCACCATCGATCTACCAATTCTTAGGAAACTGGACTCTGTTCCAGAGCCACTCAAGCGGCACTCATCTGAGTACGATGAAGCATACATCACGACTCCAATCACTGATGCATTGGAGAACTTATCTTTCCCTGCACCCAAGCATGCTCAAATTAACGAAGAACCTGAGGAGCGCATCTGTGGGTATCTTTCCGAAGACTTTGAGGAAGTAAAAAGAATTGCTGAAACCTTCGACTCGCTCGCTATTTCAAAGCCGTTGCCTGAGGGTACGAGTGAGAAAAACTTGAAGTCTTTGGAGGAAATATCGACTGAGCGAGAGTTCAGTGGGCATAAAATTGCCAATAGGTCTAAAAAGCAAAGTTTACGCCCTGTTCAGTCTGACCGAAAGAGCTCTCTCACTGGCATTGCAGTTGTTAAAGGTCGTTGTGAGATCGAAAAGGCTTTACCGAAATTCCCGCCTCAACCGCGGTTTACCAAACCATCCGCCGCCGCTCGCTTGTATCTTGAGCGCTCTGCACAAAATGCCAGCAAGCTCATGTCGCAGGCTACTGCCAAACCTTTGGTTTCCGATATTTCGTGTGCATCTGCTATGCAAGCTAATATTAAGTTAAGATCTTCAATTCAGGAACGCGACATGACTGCCCAATCTGTCGTTTTGGTAGAGCCTACTGTATCTAATACAACTGATGTAAGTGAGCTTCAGGCTGCTGCTGCTGCTGCTCAGAATACTTCAGCCGCTACTACGCAAGCTAACCAAAATGAACGTAATGTCGATACAAAACTAAGCCGACTAACCGTTACAACTAAGTCTGTTTCTCACGCTTTTTCACCGAAGTTGGCTTCACATGTTGTTTGTACTCAGTCTAACCAATCTGCCGGCGCTGTTACGTCTAACGCTTCAATCAATCCATCATCTCTCACTGCCATGCCACTGTCTTGTACCAACGCGACACATACGCCCATAACCTCATACACTCAATTGAAGACCTCGGTTCATCCGTCCACGACTCCAAATCAACCAAGGCCTGCACATTACATTTTGAAGCATTCCCAAGTTGACAGTGTTGATTCCGATGCGATGGAAGAGCATCTGCCCATTGTTGTGGCGAGGTCCAGAGCCCATGTGGATACGAGGCAACATCACTCCATTGAAGCTCCTAGAAAATTATTGGCCACTTCTTCTGAATCGGACGCATCCGAAAAAAATAGAAATGAACGAAGGATCAGACCAGGTGCTCCTTTAAAGCGGAAGGTTAGGAAACGCGCGGTCTCTTCCAGTGATGAAACGAATCAATCGATTTTTCCGGATACCTGCGATTCAGATTCAACATTTTTCAGAGGCAACTCCTTCAGTGACAGCGAAGATAATCGAGCAGAGATAGATGATGACTCAATGGCTGTTTTGAAAGCATCCGCTGCTACCTCTGCCTTGAGAAGGAGGTATCCCGGCAGAACGAAGTATCGCGCTGCCCAAATATCAAGTGTGGACAAACCATCTCAGTGCATGGTTCCTCCAGCTGTATCCAAAAGCTCCCCTACTTCTCCCTTAGCCGATCCGCGCACGAACTATCGTGAAGATAAACGTAACGTGAGTGATAGTTTGTATCAGCGCAAAGACGAGTTCAAGAAAGCCAGCTCGCAGAGACCGATTTCTTTGGGCGTAGTATCAATGCCAATAAGCCCAGGTGTTGTGTGCTCTGGTAAACGATCGAGGCCAGCGTCGTTAAACATTGTAACTGCATCTCAGGTAACGGCATCGGAAATGTCGGCGCTCACTTATCCCACAGGCCCGAATTTACTTCATCCTACCCTGGAGTCAGGTAACTCAGGCCAGGATCTGATGGATTCGAGTAACTGGCCTGTCCACACATCCATGGGATCGGTTCGCACTAAGAATGGATTATTTAAATCGAGCGGGGCATCTATTCCTGCAAGCAAGGGACCAGTTCACACGTGTACGGCGTCCATCCCTGCTACCATGGGACCAGTCCATACATGTACAACGGCCATCCCTGCTACCATGGGACCAGTCCATACATGTACGGCGGCCATCCCTGCTACCATGGGACCAGTCCATACATGTATGGCGGCCATTCCTGCTACTATGGGACCAGTCCATACATGTATGGCGTCCATCCCTGCTACCATGGGACCAGTTCATACGAGTATAGCATCCGATTCTGCAACCATTGGACCAGTTTATTCACATATGGGCTTAATACCATCTAGTCTGGCATCAGCTCAACCCAATCAAGGATTAATCTCACCGCGCGTTGGCCAAGCAGCTTCAGGCTACGGGAATCGAGCTCTACTCGGCGCCGTCCTTCCTGAAGTTGACGATATCGTAGAGGAACCTGCCAGGGTGACATCGAGCGCCTTGCTGTGGGGTGAGTTTTTGGAGGAAGAAGCGTCTCTGTTCCTTAACAATCTCAGCGTGCGTTTTGCCTAATATAACCTAACCTCCACATCACACTGCTCATCCAGATTGTAGATGTGTTTGTTCGATTAACGTTATTAATAATGAGGTTGCTTAAGTTTGTTACGTCGCAGGCGCGGATAAAATATTTTTAGTCGATAAAACTTATTATTTTACTGTCGACTTGCCATCAATGAAAAGCAACTCGGAATATACTCCTGGTAAGGAATTTTTGGTTTCCTTGCAATGCTTATTGACCAGGTGTATTTTGCGACACTCAAATGCGGCAAATTCCACAAATGCGGGTTTCTAGGTTTCCATACTATTAATTTGTGATTGATAGGTGGTTTCTTCTTAGATTCTGGCCAGTGCTCAAACAAAAATCGCGTAACGTCTAGGTTTAAGCCCAGGATTGTCGCTACACTCGGCTCAGAGTTATTCTGGGTCTGCTTGGCCACCCAATCGAAATCAGCTTCTTGTCTGAAGAATACCCTCCCATGTCAACAGTGTCTTAGAGTATAGGCAGGGTTGGGCGAAACATGAGCTTGCAAGCTTGTTAAAGGCCCGTTTACAATAGGTGCAACGATATTTGGCGATGAGGCGCTTGCTGCAGCGCCTTACCGCCCACAACCGTTCACACTTATTTTTTGTACGCGGTAGCTCGAAACCGCGCGCTTTGAAGATTAGTTGCCAGTTAGACGTCAGTGGGGATGGATGTATCCGAATTTGAGCTCTGGGCCATTGTTCTCGGGTGCGCTGCTGCTAAGAAAAGATGTGGGCGTCGCCGTATTTGGGTGAAAAAAATGGTTGCGAAGAAGAGAGGGGCTCACACAATTAAATTTTCAAAGAATTATCAGTTGCGAATGCATAAGACTTTCAAAATTATACTAGACTGCCTGTGTACTTGTTTGACAGTCTGCTAAAGAAAGTAATGCCACTCGTCCAGAAGCAGGATGATGGAATTTAGATGGAATTCATATGCAATGGAATTCATTTGCAACGAAATAAATTTCAGGATGGAATTGCGAACGCAACGTATGAATGTCTTGCGAAGTTGCGAACCTCGTCAATGTTGACTTGCACACGAAAGTTTCTTAAAACTTCAACTATTTTTACCAGAGCTTGGTCTTTTGCATTGCGACTTTTATACTCCTTTGACTGAACTCTACAGGCATTCATTGTCTTTACAAAGATCAATTAGCCTCTCTACAAGAGAGTGAGTCCAAACTAGCGTGGCGTTATAGTTGACAGTGAAGGATCAGCGTAAACTGACAACCTCGCTTGACCACAGACAGCTGTCTACTGAGCGCCGCGGCGGCCGCGGCCGGCGCTTGTGTTGCATGAGGCAGGGCGACTGTGAATCGCTAGTTCGCCAACCGCTTCGTTGCCCACACGACGCACACAGGGGGCGGTGGGGCGTCAAGCGCCTCACCGCCCCTCTGTGCAGCGTCTAAGTGCGCTTCGTGTGAGCAACGACGCGATTGACGAGCTAGTGATTCACAGTCTCATGCTACACAAGCGCTACACTCAGTAGACGGCTGTCTGTGGTCTAGCGAGGATGTTTGTATACGTTGGTCCTTCACTATGTCAACTAACGCCACACTTTTTTTGGACTCACTTTCTAGTAGAGAGGCTAATTGATCTTTGTAGAGACCATGAATGCCTGTGGAGAGTTCAGTAAAAGGATTATGAAAGTTGAAATGCAAAAGAACAAGCTCTGTTAAAAATAGTTGAAGTTTTAAGAAACTTTCGTGTGCAAGTCACCATTGACGAGGTTCGCAAGAAAATTCATACGTTTCGTTCGCAATTCCATCGTGAAATTAATTTCACTGCAAATGAATTTCACTTCGATTCCATCATCCTGCTTCTGTATGAGTGGCATTATTTTCTTTAGCAGACTGCCAAATAAGTCCACTGGCAGTCTAGTATAATTTTGAAAGTCTGATGCATTCGCAACTGATAATTCTTTGAAAATGTAATTGTGTGTAACCTCTCTTCTTCGCAACCATTTTTCACCCAAATATGGCGACGCCCACATCTTTTCTTAACAGCAGCACACCTGAGAACAATGGCCCAGAGCTCAAATTCGGATACATCCATCCCCACTGACGTCTAACTGGCAACTAATCTTCAAAGCGCGCGGTCTCGAGCTACCGCGTACAAAAAAAATGTGATCGGTTGTGGGCGGTGAGGCGCTGCAGCAAGCGCCTCACCGCCCATGTCGTTGCCCCTAGTGTAAATGGGCCTTTAGAACGGCCGAAGCTGACATAGAGCGGCTGATTTTCGTGCTTCACATGTCCTAAGCAATTCCGTGCAGACAGACTACCGCGTGCTTCCGTATCGTAGATCCGTAATTAAGTGCGGCAATTACTAATTAGTGCTTTTTTCTTCCTAGCCTTTCAATGGATTACCTGATGTGTAATGTAGTCTTGCCTTCTCAATTTTTTTTATCACTACTGGCTTCTCACTGCTTCGTCGTTAACGATTCATAACTGTACCCGAATCGCGTGCTATAACATACTGCGCCGTATTTAAACACCCAAGGTTATATAGGGCTGAGCGATCGCCTCTGAGCAGCGCATGCAATTATTTTCAGTGAATAACTTGAGATTTTGGGTGTGATTAATTCAGTCTTAAATGAGATTGTGATGTTAGCTCGAGCAAAAACGCTCGTGCAGACATTCGTACAGGCGCTCGTGCGGAAACATTAGTGTAGTGATGCTCGTTGAAAAGCGTAATCTATTGATACATAGAGACTCGTAATCTATTGATACCTAATCCTTGAAAAATAGCGATAAAAGAAAATTTAAAAGGTATATAGAAGAAGATGAGATAGTACAGCACCATGTGGTCGAACATGTCATGTGTGTCACGTCATCGGCCAAACATAACATGTTTTGCATACAAGGCCGAAAAGAACGTGACGCTGCAGAACATGTGTGCGTGATGGATGCGTTATAAATTGACATATTTTACGAAGTGAATATTCAATTTTTGTGGATAAATTTTATGCAGACGAGTTATTGTGGGTGGACGCGGGCTGCTGTGTAAGTGAAGCTTACGCATGTAAAGAAACTTACGCAGAGGTGACTCAGCCGCTGATCTCTCGCGTCCTGTTGTTGCCAGCGCCTCTGTGCTGTTGTTGCCAGCGCCTCTGTGCTGTTGCTGCCAGCACCTCTGTGCTGTTGCTGCCAGCGCCTCTGTGCTGTTGCTGCCAGCGCCTCTGTGCTGTTGCTGCCAGCACCTCTGTGCTGTTGCTGCCAGCGCCTCTGTGCTGTTGCTGCCAGCGCCNGAGCATCTCACGCCCTGTCTCTTATACACATCTAGATGTGTATAAGAGAGGGGTGCTGAGCTCAGCGTATAAATACTGCGGGCGGGGTGCTGAGCTCAGCGTATAAATACTGCGGGCGGGGTGCTGAGCTCCCTGCTTTGATGTCGCTGCGCAGCGCCGCTCGCTTTTGATCTTCGCGCGTGAATTGATGGTAGTGGTGACGATGATGGTGGTGGTGGTGCTGCTGCTGATAATACTGGTGGTGGTGTTGCTGCTGGTTGTGTTGGTGATATTGCTGGTGATGGTGGTCATATGGAGGTGGTGATGCTGCTGCTGAAGGTACCGTAGTGTTGCTATTGATGTTCATGATGATGGTACTGTTCGTACTGCTGCTACGCGTGGTGATTGCTATGTATGTCAGACTATTGCACAGCATTTGAGGCTTTTATATCAGAAATATTTAGTAGCGTAACTCCGTCAGCCAATCACTGACGACTTATCAAGCCAAGCCCACCAATCATACGGACCAGAAATGTTTTGCTATCTGCTTAGGACCCTACGTGTACTTGGGCCGCCGCGTGTACTTCGGCCGCTACGTGTTCTTAGGCCGCCGCGTGTACTTAGGCCTCCGCGTGTACTTCGGCCGCTACGTATTCTTAGGCCGCCGCGTGTACTTAGGCCGCTACATGTACTTAGGCCGCTACGTGTACTTAGGCCTCCGCGTGTACTTAGGCCGCTACATGTACTTAGGCCGCTACGTGTTCCTAGGCCTCCGCGTGTACTTCGGCCGATACGTAATCTTAGGCCTCCGCGTGTACTTAGGCCTCCGCGTGTACTTCGGCCGCTACGTGTTCTTAAGCCGCCGCGTGTACTTAGGCCGCTACACGTACTTAGGCCGCTACGTGTACTTAGACCGCCGCGTGCACTTAGGCCGCTACGTGTACTTAGGCCGCTACGTGCACTTTGGCCGCCGCGTGTACTTAGGCCGCATCGTGTATTTAGGCCTCCGCGTGTACTTAGGCCGCTACGTGCACTTAGGCCGCCACGTGTAGTTGATACGTTGCTTGTACTTGAGAAAGTTTTGATAGTTCATCCTACACGAGACACAGCTGCTGTATGTATGTGAAAAAGCTGTTCATAAATTTTTGTTCTGCCCGGTTCCAATGTTTTTGTCTTTTATCTCACTTGAACTTTTAACTGATAGACTGCACAGTATACTGTGTCCATAGAAGAAGGATTTGATCGCATAAATTCTAATTTTGTTAGTCGAATTATTGCTTTGATTAGATCATCTCTGCAATTTGAGCGTCTCTGCATGAGCGAATTTAGAATTATTCTAATCCTAGGATTATTTTATTGTAGTTGTTCTGAATGTCGATCCTGTGCGATGTCGATCACATCTTTTTGCTGGTGGCAATCAGGGTGAGCTTTTACATGCATTTAGTTTACATTTTTTTGCATTGATTCTGCTTATTCTGAGAGTGACAAATCTTTCTTAATCTTTCATCCACTGATAGTAATCAAATTACCAGGCATTTTGATACGAAAAGCATCAGAGACGATAAATGTATCCACAGACTAAGGCTTGAAGTAATTTATTATTCAATACAGAGCTCTGTGTTTAACACAACTGAGATAAGTGCAGAGATTGCCACCTGCTATCGCACACCGACTGACTTTGTTGTGCAACAACATATGAC